GGGGCCCGGCCGTCATTCTCAGCCTTACTCGAGGCGCTTATGTCAAAGTGTAATTCGCACAAATCGGGACGGCCGAAACGGCGTGGTTCTTAAGCGTTTTTAGGCTCCTACTAGCCGCAGTTGTTCAGATTCATCGCCGTGCTATAATAAAACTTCTTGTCTACCTGACGTGTCTATGGCGATGGAAAACAGACTAGAGTCACTGTGGTCCGTGTGGGTGCAGAGCTGCAAAACGAAGCTTGGGTTCTGCTTCCGTTTGGTGTTCAAAGCGATACCGTTATGCACTGACATACACTAATCATTTTGTCAGTGGTGCCAGAAAGGTACGTTCTCCCTGTGGGAACACATGCCCAGCCAAACACGCGCATGCTAGTTTTGTAGTACGTGCTAGGCTTCCGTAGCACAAACACCTGTATGCTGTGCTTAACTTGCCATTTGCAAAAAGCGGGCCTAATAATCACATTCCTGACAGTCTGGGGAGGTGGGCTTCTCCGAGTGCGCATGCACTGAATAGATAAAACGATGTGTTCTTTGTATTTTTGAGGTCACAGACATGTAAAGGTTGCGCTGAAATTTGTCTTGGACCAATAATAGAAAATCGTTTACATTGAGATTTTCTGTTTATTACAGCTGAGTTTCATATACTTTTGCTGGTGAAATGCTGCATCCCTACATGGCTCTCATATACTAATTATTTTCTTTGGGTTGCAGGTGTATCATTCATGAACTATATATATTTGCCAGTGTCCATCAAAAACGTTTTTATTGGGAGCGATAGAGCTGCAGAATCCAAGGAACAAAGCCATGTAATCAATAGTCTCATTTTAGGTTGCGACATTTTTCTGTGAGGAGGCTGGGAAAAAATCTTACCTCATTTGTGCTTACACAGTTACACTGGTGGACCTGGAGTTTCTGAGTTGGAAATAAAATGATTGATGTATTTTCATTACTTTGCAGCTTATTATCTCAGTTTTCACTGCAACCTTATTTCATGATTTTTCAATACACATTTTTTCCTTTTTTTTTTTCTGATGGGCACTTGACAAGTATATTTGATTTCCATGAGCTCTTTAATATCAAATATCCCCTGTGGAGGACACAACTGTAGACAGTAATACTAATGTTGTGATTGAAACTGTAAGCAATTCACAAGTTCTACAGGAAGATACACACCTAAAGGCATACACGCACTACCTCTGATTCTGATCTTCTAACTCAATAATTGTCAAAATTTTTAAGGGATGCTTTCTTAGAGACATAAACATTATTGCATCTGTAAAGTGAAACAGTCTGTTCAATTAGGTATACCTTCACAAGCACTCAATAAAATTCTATTAAATAGCTGAGATGTTAATGTTCCCATTTCCTTCTTTAACTTTCTTTCTAACCTCTTTGCATGTTTCCTACTGTGAGGTGTAGAAGAGGTGGCATCTTTATCAGGAAGTAATAGGATAACAGCTATCTTTCTTCCTCCTTTTTGGAACATCTCTTGAAAAGCGGAATTAAGATTTAGCATTAACTGTATCAGTAAATTTCATTAAGCCTGTTCTTTTAAACTTAAAAACTAAGAAGAGTCTCTTAACTGTATTCCTTTAAAAATAAGTAAGTATGAAAGAGGTATGGTAAATATTAATGGGCAGTCCCGGTCAGGCCTAAGTGACTAACAGAAATTTGATTGGCCACTAGAAAACACAGTCCTTAGACCTCACCTTCAAATTAGTAAGGATGTTTAGGTAATGACTACTGGCCTTAGATACTCATAGGCATGTTCTTTCATATGCAAATTAGTCCTGTGCAATAAATCAAATTACAGAATTTGGCCCTTAATTCATCTTAGATTTTGAAAGTCAGAATATTCAAGCATGACATTGTATCAAACTGCATTTTTGAGATGACTGATCCACAAAGAAGAGGCAGCAATTTATAATCTTTGAAATCTTATCTGCACATGTAAAGATCCAGAGTATTTGTTATGTGCCACAAAAACATGCAGCGTAAGTTCTTTGTGCTTTATGTTCTGATATAGCTGGTTGCAGCAATGTGAAGGACTTTGCTGTTTCTGATAAATGGCCTAAAATGAGTTGGTAGTTTGCATTACAGTGTTAAAAAGATATTATGGCACTGGAGAGATTTACTTCAGTGAGGATGTTTGTAACTGAAAACTTGAAATTCCGTACGCTGGATCAAGCCACCAAAATATTTAAGCATATATTCAGCGGCATGTGTTTGAGTGGTGCTCATTGTTTCACTGAAACTATTCTGCATGAAAAAAACTGTGTATTTGTAAGGTTCTGGAGCAGGCCCGCAAGTAGGCACATCATGACAGATAAAAGACTTGGAATTTCACTATCTTGACATAAGCAACAAGTTTAAAAGGTTGTTTTTGTTTGCATTTTTTTTTAATTAAAAAGCAGCTGCTAGATTGTTGAGGCTTA